GTGTGTGTGTGTGTGTGTGTGTGTGTGTGTGTGTGTGTGTGTGTGTGTGTGTGTGTGTGTGTGTGTGTGCGTAGCCAAAATGTGATATTTCAGCATAAATACCATTAGGTAAAACACAAAGTAGGCTTTTTACACATTATTGACTTATACAGTGCCATAAATATTTCAGAATTATGAACCTAGTGTTTACACCACTAACAAACAGAATGGAAAATGTGGTCGAAGGCTACATTTATATTATTATGTTTTCGTTTAAAATAGCATCAACTCTGCTTTGGATACGTTTGGCGTCCACACTACTAAAGTCATTTAAGTTTTAGTTTGAAAACTCCCAGGTTGTTTTTTTCGGGCAGAGAGATATTTTGAAATAATGACTTAGACACTCACAAAGGATTCAACAGCATCCCATCACAATGTGCATTTAGCCTCGGCTACCAGTGTAGACCAAATCATGCCAAATGGACATGGATTAAACTGATGCATGGACAGAGGTTTCAGTTTTACAACTTCAGTTTTTAAATGAAAGTGTGATCGTATGGATTTAGCCCATTACTTGACACAGACTGATCTCGTAAGGACCGGCTCACTGCTGTGGGAAATGTTTAAGGTCTGACACTCTTTTCCTCTGCATCTCCACACATGTTTTCTACAGTCTGTCGTCATAATACTCAAAGCCGACACACAAGGACCAGATCTCTCTGTCTCTCAATCTGATCTATAAATAGTGATAACCTTTATCTTTCTTCTACAATGGGACTGACCACCCATAGATAATTCATCAGACCACAATGAGCCATTCATTTGTTTTTCTTTCCCTCACACACAGAACACTCCAATGCTTTGTGCTTTGTATTTATTCCATTTTCATCTGCATCACTCTCCACAATTACCCCCCGCTATACCCAAATCACATAGTGTTCCCTCTCTGATACCGTATTCTCTATGATCTATCCACAAGTCATCCTCATCCGATTTGATCTATTTAAATCCTTCATAAGCTGTGCCCAGGCTCATTAACAGGGAAAAGTGAGAGAGTGGAAGGAGGAACAAACTTGGCTTGTGTCAATCACAAAGATTCCTGACATATAAGAAAAATCGAGTCCCTGTGGATCTGCCTCGCCATCCCTTCCTCAGCATCGTTATGCATAAACACATCCTGTGCTCTTTGAGTCACAGTTTCCTCTGGTTGATCTTATCTGGTCTAAATTCTGCAGGCACCCCACTGCTTTCCAACACTACAGTTTCCCTTGCAACTACAGAGAAATGCTGCTTCGCATCAAAGGTGGATGCAAGTAGGAATTTCAAGTGATTTTTCTTGGAATATCATCTGTGAGTGAGGCCAGTGCTCAGTTTCAATATGCTGGTTATTTAAATTAAACCTTGCTACTGTAACTACCCAGTCTACACCACATCTCTTCCTGTGCACCTGGGAATTTTTCTCAGGATAAACTAATAATGGCAACCATAATAATTTCACATTACAACACTGTAATTGAATTTGACAGGATAATAGTACTTCATAATATCTTTATGAATTCTCTGCACGCTTTACTTTGGTAAAGATGTAAAGTAAATTACCTCTGGCACATCATATTTTGACGATGTAATCACGTGAATTCAGCTTTTATAAACTGTGTGCCCTTCTAAATATATCAGGTGACCGACACTCCATTCAACATTCATAAAGAGTAAATAAAGTTCTTGTCACTTTTCATAAAATAGTAAAAGATACTTTTATGTCTGCCTTATTCATTTCTTATTAAATAGTGTCTTACCAGTTGAATCAATTTTGGTGACAAAACTAGTCGATGTGATAATAACTTGGGATGCAAAAAGCCCTGAGAGTGGCACATCTGCACAAATATGTCTGAGATCACATAATCACACACTTATCTACTCATATCAACAGCAAGTATCCAATATACGACACTGAGTCTCTGTGTATGTAGAGCATCCAAGTGGCACTAACTGGTTTGTGTAATGATGAGAGTGACTCATAACATCACAAGACAGAGGAACACAAAATTCACTTATTACCCAAAATGTCCACAGAGGCCTTAATCTGGTGAGAAAAAACATTGCATGAAAGAACTAATGATTTTCTTCATATTATATAAAGATAAAAATGATGTTTTTATCCCAGTTTCTCTTGTGCTCTTTATCTTTGATATCTGTTGAAAGCCTTTGGAATAATAATAAATGCTTCTAAAACTTATGCCATTGAGAACAACAGCTTTTACTTTCTTTTGTTCCGGAGGAATACCTGCTTTATGATCTCTCCCCAGGCCAGATTCTTCCCATTATCTGGATGATGCCATTTCCAAAAAGCACACTGTTATCAGGGCACTTACACATTCTTATAGGTAATGTGGGCTCACAGACACTAGATAAGAAGAACATAAAGCAAATATAAGGTGAAAACTTTCAAACAATGTGAAATGAAACTCAAAACGCAGAGCTCCTCAGTGTGTTGGTAAACTACTGACAAGTTTTAAAACTTAAATGAGGTTTAAAAACACAGAAACAAGTGAAATCATAAAACAGGAATACTTTCCCAATAGGACTATTGTCAATTTACCTTTTGTGCAAGGGGGAAAATATGCCTGTTTTATTTTCATAAAAATGAACCATAGACAACACACATATCTCTGACTCAGCACTGCAATAATCGAGTGGCACTTCTAAATAATCCATGTTATTTAATTTATTTATGTGGCAGGTATTTTCACTCCAGTCCTTTCTGCTGTGTGGAAGTATTCAAGGACAATAGTTTAAACATTTATACTGACACGGGTTCCTTTTTCATGCAGTATATACCCGACTCTTTTATCTTTAAGTGGAGATAAACTGTAAAAGCTTGGAAAGTGGAAAACTCGATCGAAAACTGTGCCTTTGGCAAAAGGATGCCTGTTAAAATATTTGTACCACTTGAGCTGTATCTGATTTCTTTTGTGAATGACTTAAACATTAAACCAAGGAAACTTAAGGAGATTTAAGGAGGGGGGGGGGGGTTTACACACATTTGTCTTTCAATTGTTGACTCATTGACCAAATGCACCCCAAAGACCCAAACCCTCACCTTAACTATCAAAACTAAATACCTAGCTTTGGCCCTGACCCTTGTATAAGCTGCCTGAAAATAAGAAAAAAGATCCATCAGTTTCAAATGATGCAACCATCACTGCTCACCTCCATGCATCCATTATTGTTAAACATGACAGCCCCCAGGCGGGAGCACACAGGCAAGAGTTTCTGACAGCTACAAACATCACAATGGTGGATGAGGTTGTGATAATGTACCCCTTAAGAAGTATACAAAAATGGCTACGTCGTAAATGTGCACTGCTGAGTTATTTAAATATACCTTGAGACATCCCATCGAGCAAAGAATTGAAAGATTCTCCCCATCAACAGCATCTCCACTTCACTTACTCATGGACTTATTGTGGGTATTTGAAAAAAGCATTGCAGCATAGTCCTCTGCTTTTCTCTACTGTCTCTACTGTTCAATTCACATTGACTTCCTGTCCAATCTCCTCCCGACTGTTCTGCAGTAACTGTGTGTTCCTTTACCCCGCCCCCCCCGACACGACAGTTCTTTATATTTTCTGCTCCGGTTTTTTATAGGCCAATCTCCCACTGCATCTCAACTCCAGTTTTAACCTTTGAGCCATTAGTGTTCACCCCCTGCAAGCCTCTCTCCTCTCAACCTCTTCGCCTTCACTGTCACTCAACTCCTTGATGCCCAGTCCCCAACCCATCCCTGTCCTTTTCTTATTTGGCAGTTCGACTGTCAGTGTTCACTCCATTCTCATCTCTTCCAAACCCCCCCCTGCAGAGCCTGTCCGCTCATTATATGCCCTCCTTACCTTATCATCTCCTCCTGCCCTCCCTTTATATATTCTCTCTCCTGTCTCTCTCCAGGCCACTTTCTCAATGGCAGCTACTGCTCTTTCGAAGACGGCGAGTGCAGCTGGCAGCCAATAATGGGCCGCCGTCTCTCCTGGAGAAGAGTCCAGTCTCCAGCCAAGGCTACCAGACAGAGCTGCCCATCATCAGGTGGCTCATGCACGTCTGCTGCACTTATAAACTGTTGTACTGATCAGAGAGTTGCAGTATCTCAGTGTTAATACCTTGTTATGAGTCACTTCAAATAGTAAAGCAAGACTAAGGCATTTTAAACTAATAATCTTGCAAAAAAAACATTTTATGTGGAAAGATAAACACCACCTCTGATGTGTCAGACATGTTCTTTTTCAGAGCTGCGCTGCTCCAAATGGAATTCCACTGGGTAAAAGCTCCAGCACATAAAGTCTGAGTCCTACATCTCGAGTTTGTCCCTTGATGAGATTGTAAAGTATTGGTTTGTTGGTGCTTGTTTTTGTTCTCAGCTATTTACATAAATATCTGAGGTGGTGTGGGGGAACTACAAATTGTAATTTTATTTGTAGGTTTTTTTTCAAATGTTATTTATTTTGTTTGGTTTTTTTTATAATTTCATAAAAGTCCTCTAAAAGGACACAAAGTGGACATTAACTGTATTGTTTGTAACTGTCGCTCTGTTAAACTGTGCTTTTACTTCAGTATCAGTAAGATTGATCAAGTTGTGGATCAAATTAGAGCCCAGGAAGAAAAGTAGGAACATGCCAAACAGTCCGACTCACTAATGGTCACGGTTCAAATCAAAACCTCAACATGTATTGCAAAACACCATGCACAGATTTAGAGTGAATAATTGTATTTTATTTCTGACAGATTTCATTCTGTATGTTTGTGTGTTAAAGGTGCTACATTCAGTGTGGAGGGTGGCCAGTCCAAAGGTCAACGTGGCTCAGCAGTACTCAGGAGCCCTCTCTTCCCGCCTCCTCTCAGAAACTCTCCGTGCACGGTGAGCAGAGTAGAGTGTGTTGTTATCCATTACTAACCAGTACATATTCATTCTCACACAGAAGTAAAAAAGCAGGTTTTTCAGATTGAGCTGATGACTACACTGAAATTACAGTCAGCAACATCAGCTTCAATTGGGTTTCAGTTCATTCTTGGATGTGTTAAAAACACGTCGTACCTACAGTATCCAGTTATAGCACCAGTTATTACACCCCCTACAACTCCTTAAAAAATATTCAGAAGTTTTGAAAAAGTTCCCCTCATAGCTTAAACATTCACTCATTATCTACCCACCACTATGCCGATGGAGGGGTGGCTGAAGTGTTTGAGTCGACGAAACACTTCTGGAGTCTCAGGGGTAAACAGTGTTGCAGCCAAGGTGACCCCTTCTTCAGACGTAATAAAACAACAGAAAAAAACACAACATGCCTCCATACTGCTATGGATGTCGGGGGCTGGCAGAAACTTGGATGACAGCACACGAGCAGACTGTTTATTTCACTCAAAATATCTTAAAATGCTAATGTTAACATGTTTTAAAACGTGATTTTCCTCAGAAGGGGACTTAATAATTGTATTGCAAAATGATTTACTTCACATTTAGAAAGAAGACATTTTGAGGATGAGGAATAACAATACAGTATAAAGATTCTAGAAAATGCTGGTGTTATAGCTATACAATGGCTGGACTTGCTGAAGTCTGACCTCCTCCAAAGTAAATAAGGAGCAGGACATTTATAGTACAGTAATATATCACGATAACGAACACAGTGTGCTCCGATAATCACCAGAAGAGAAACATGGACTCTGTTCAGTTATTGTTATTGTTGTAGACGGCTATTTGGAATTTGATATGTTAATTAATTTCAGTTAGAGCTCAAAATGTACCAAGACATGGATGGATGGATGGATGGATGGATGGATGGATAATTGATCTCAGGGGAAATTTAGGATGGGTTCATAGGTTAACATTATGCCATCTGCACGTATGCAGATATCCTAAGACACTGAGGTTAACCTTGTCAATCATGGCTCACATCTTCTCATCTGTTTGCGATAATATAAGAATTCATACATTATTCAGATCACGATACTTTCAGAGCAGATCTCCTGGTGAAGAGGTTGTGTCCTTGATTGATGCAGTTGCATCCAGCATTTAGAGTAACATTTGTGAATCTAATATTGCTCAGTACAGCGACCTTTGGCCCTTTGCTTGTTTACTTTGCACAGTTAAAAATGAGGCAAGGAGCGATGTAGAGTTAGAGTGGGTGAGACAGACATGAGGGATGGAGGTGGGAGGGATACCGGGAAGGTCAAGAGGTCAGAAAACAAGATAATAAGACAGACCTAGGGGATATAAAGTTAATCGTAACTTGAAAATATGCAAGGAAACTTTCCACAAGGAAGAAAAAGGACAACAATAAAAAATTAATAGGCTTATGTTGCTGCCTCTCAGGTGTGAATTAGAGGCAATGTTTGTGGACCGCGGTGGAAGGAGTTCCCAACACTGTGGCACGTGGCCAAAGATTAGCCATGATTCCAGATTACCACTCTAAATCCTTCTCTCTACACTGAACTGATGCTGTTCAATCTAGCCTGGCTGCTTGGAAAACTACATTGAGGATATTAGTTTTGGGTATTAGCTACAGACCACATTCACTTTCATGCCGTGCCCAGTGTGCGCTGTGCACTGCCTGTAATCTCGATATTTAAACGGTCACCATGTGGTTTCGCAGTTTGACGATAAGCACCACAACCTGCTTTTGACAAGCACAGAGAAAGCACTCGGCGTAAATGTGGTGAATTCTGCTGTCTGGATGGTGTCGTCGCCACGTGCACTTCTATCAGGCTTAAGCCAGAATCTGTTCCGCTTAAATGGTGAAGCCAGAATTATGTTCTTGGCTCCAATAAAATGCTGTAGAGGGACATGGTCACATCCCATGCTTGTTAGCAAGCTTTAGATTCAGACTTCCTTTTACTATTTAATTCTAGCTATGGTCTGTGTTGTTTAATTATATGCATGTTTACACCCACCATGTCCCTCCTGGAAACAGTGAAATGTGATTTGTGCAAAGCTGTGCAGAAGCATACAAAGAAAAACAGCCCAAAATCACTATCCTGGTTAATTCTGTTGATCTTAGAATAATGAGGTCTGACTAGATGCAGTTTTAAGTTCACACCTTCCTCGACTGATAAAGCCATGGCTGTTTTTTATTTTTCAAATCTAAAATATTCAAAGTTCAAGGTGTCATGGTATTTTATATTCAGACATTATGTGCCTCAAAAATCTGAACTTTGTGCTAACCTATTCTGCTTTCTAAATCGTATTCAACTTGTGTTGTTAATTTGTAATTCCAACTCACTTCAACAGGTGCGGTTCTGGCTGTGTTCCAGAGGCTTACAGAATTGGTCGCTGTCTCTGTGGATCATGGAGAACAGTACAGGTCCTGAGGAACAGCGCAGACTGTGGCATTCAGCAAGTGAACCCAAATCTGAAAGGGGCTGGAAACTCATCGTAATTCCTCTTTATGGGCTCGCAGACTGGTACGACAAACGTGCACCTATTTCACCATATAAGACACAGTGTGGATAATATCAAGGCTTTGTGTTCAGACCATCTGAAGACATCAAGCTGGTAGTTTCAATCTGAAACAGCATTCAAGTGTGATCCTAACTAGAGAGACACACAGATGCATACCTCCAGCAAGGGCAACGCCCTATCTAGCCATTAAAACAAAAATTCCTGTATCTGCCTTTTTATATGGATTTGCTCCAAAATTAAATGTTTTTTTACTTGGGCCATACCTTACCCCTCCAGACATTTTCACTGAAATTGGTTCAGTAGTTGTTGAGGTTATCCTGCTGAGGGACAAACAAACATGTAGCAGTGAAAACATAACATCCTTAGCGGAGGTATAACAAACCTCAGACGCATTCCCACTTATAGTTAAGTGCTCCCACAGCAAAGAAAGCCTTAAGAAACAGAAACAAGGCGTCTTCTTCCCTCTTTTTTCCACCTCTCCTTAATGCAGATTTTCAACATTTACATTCCATTTCCCGGGAAACATCTCCTCTCAACTACACAAAATTAATGAATCCCATTGGGACTCTAGTCTTATACCATGTACCGTCTATGTGTACGGCTGTGCAAAATATTCTCCTCTGTTTTTATTCCACCAAAGGTAGAAATCAATACACAAGGCTCTACCCACCCTACTTGCCTTCCAATTAGGTATGGCCCTGCTTTCCCCTTCAAGAAGAGAGAAATTAAAACAAAATAGCATTAAACAAGAAAAAAGAGAAACATCAGACAAGGCATTTCATCTCTGTTTGCCTGACTGGGGGTTTCTTGGCCATTCAAGCTTGGATAATCCTGCCCCCCCAGAGAGTGATTAATTTTTGATTCCTGGGTTATGTAGTCAGCTGTGCTTGTGCTCTTAATTAGAATGTCATGTTCGTAACCACTAGGTGAACCTGCCAGTCTTTGCTCAGTGACCTTTGTAGAGCTTAAATGGAATCAGAAACACAGCTTTAAATACAGGACAGGTAGTGTGTGTTGACTCTGCCTGAGTGTTTCTGGTTTGAGACCCTCTGAGGTGACGGCAGGAATTCAGAAACAACATGACCCATCACATTCAAAGGTCCAGTGTGTAAGATTTAGGTGAAAGGGATCTATTGGCAGAAATTTAATGTAGAATAATCCTCATAATGTTTGTTTCATCTAAATTGTATGAATTGCAGTTTTCTTTACCCCAGAAAAGGCCCTTTATATTTAAATACTTTATATTTACATCGGGGGGGTCCTCTCTACGGAGGCCGCCATGTTTTTTACATTAGTCCAGACTGGACAAACTAAACACCTTTTGAGTTTTTAAGACAACTGAAGCTACAACAGTTTATTTTTCAATGTTTGGAAGGAGAGGGTGAGGTGAGGGGTGTTCAGCTGCAACATGCAATTTCAACACTAGATATCACAAAATTCTACACACTGTACCTTTAAGCAACAAGTGTCCTATAATTCATGATAGGTTATTGTCTGTTACAGCTGCACTCACTTATTGTGAGCATCCCTGTCTTAGCGCTAGAAATATAAGAACAGAATCATGAGATAGTGATACATGCAACTACAAAACCATTCACACTGCAGTGGAAATGTCTTTGATTCCCCGAATGTGATATCTTGGGAGATGTAATTTTTCCATTTCTTGCCAGAGAGTTAGATGAGATGATTGATACCACTTTTGTGTCTGCACTCTAAATATAAAGCTGGAGCAAGCAGCTGGTTTGGTTAGCTTGGCATGGCATAAAGATGAAGACGCGGGTAAACTGCTAAGCAGGCTCAAAATCTGCCTACTATAGGGCACACAAATTAAGAATTTATATTTTGTTCACTAGTGAGGGGAAGATGGAACGCAACAGTCTGTGCAGCGTCAGCAGTATTGCAGGGTTTGTACTGGACTGCTGTGGTGAGATAGGAGCTGAGCCACAAGGCAAAGCTTCTGAGTCTATCTATGTTTCAACCCACACCTATGGTCACGAGCAAGTGACACAAGAACAACATCGCTGAGGAGCTCAGGCATCTGGAGGGAGCTTGGAGTAGAACTGCTGCTCCGTGTCAAAAGAGGACAGTTGAGGTGGTTTGGGCATCTCGTCAGGATACCTCTTGGGCTCCTTCCCTGTAGGGCTTACTGGGCACAACCAACCGAGAAGAGATCCAGGGGGAGATCCAGAACTTCCAGAAGGGACAAAATGTCTAATCTTGCCTGTGAACACCCTGGGATCCACCAGGAAACGCTAGAAAATGTGGCCTGTGAAGGGGGCGCCTGGGATTCCCTAGATGGCGGATTTTGTTAAATACATTCACTTGGGTCACCTATCAACTGGTCCTGGATATAGAACAGGCCAACAGAGAAAATCTTTACACTGAGCTAAGTTAATATTAATTAATATTTAATATTGGTATTTATTAGACAAGTATCAGTCTTTTCATGGACAATAAATCCAGGCAAAAGAGAAACAAAGCATGTCTTCGAAAACGTCAAACTACTGCTTTTAAGACTCAAAACTCATTGTAAATTAACTGCATTTATATTATTTGGAGCTTTTCTAATCTTGACAACCACTCAAGCTTTTCATATCACAAGTCACGTTCACCCATTCACAAACACGTTCATTCAGTGCTTCCATATATAGCACTTCTTTATCACACATTCCATTCTCACACGGCCATCAAGGGCAATTTCATCTCAATGACTCCAACATTCAGTCTGCAGCAGCTGAACAATAATCATCTGATTAGACGCGCCCTACCTCTAAAGACTCAACTCCACCTCATACTGTGGTTGTTTGCCTAAATTATTGTGTCTAAAAGTATTAAACATGAAAGCAGAAATTGTAATCATCCCTGTGTGGAGTCAAACTGCACTTTTTTTGTCTCTGCTAAAAGCTCTTGACACTTCAGACAAAGCTGTGACAACATGCACACATTCCAAAGCCACACCTCAGTGCCATTTTTCTTAAAGCACGATTAAGTCTTCCTCATATCATTTTAGTCAGGGGCTATCAAAACCTTTCACAGGTTGTAAGGTAGTTACAGCATCTCTGTCCCTTGGCAGGTTCTGGCTGCAGTTCAGCACAGAGGATGGACCTGGACCCGGCTCAGCTGTCTCCCTTGACAACATCTCTTTCAGTATGGACTGCTTCCTGGCATGTGAGTATTATAAAACTTATGGAGTCTTTCTTTACTCAGATCGGATCTGGGTTGAATTAATGGAACTGACTGATTGCTGGATTGATTGACCATGACAAGCACAATGTGGAAGAAAAGTGGAATACTAAATAAATTAAAAAGTTTTCCCACAGCAATTCAATTAGTAATCAGTACTGGTCTGACTCACACTTCATGTTTTACAGACATAATATAAGATTGAGAGGTAGTTTATGAAGACCACTTTTGATAATTCATCAAGGACTTATTCATGATTTATCCAAGGTTTATTTATAGGCTGAGTTACATTGTTCTTTTCATGCAAATCAATTTAGTCAACTCATCTTTGTCAAGACGATTAAAATACATTTTGAAAATCTTATTGTATCTTATATACTTCTACGTCTTCATTTACAACTGGCATTTGAATGTGTTTTGTATTCAAATTGTGTCTAGATTTGATATTAATTCAACCTGATTACATTAAAACATGGGAACAATATGTGTCTCCTGTGTCTATACTGAGATCTCATCTGATCACTCTGTCTCGCTTATGTTACATCCATGTTTATTTACACATGTACTGTCATGAGGTCGAGGTTTATCTGATCGCAATCTAATCCCCAGAAATGCATTTTAATGTCAGTAGTAAATGGAGAATTACATATGATCAAATGATTGAAAATAAATGAGTTGAAATGATATGTATCATTATGGTATTTTTACTGTGTCCTTATTAAGACTGTTTGTGTCCTGAAATGTCAGAACAGTTCAAATCTGGTTGATAAGGTTTTATGTTCTCATATTGCTCTGCAGGCTCATAAATGTCAGACCTCGCACCACCTTTCCAGATAGTTTTGTGTCACAATTGAAATGGTTTATCAGTATAAAAGCAAGTGTAAGCTGGCAAGTCTGCAATCAGAAATGAAAGGTTGCCTCCCCAATCTCTGCATATGTGGAAGAAGCTGTTTGAACACTGACAGAAATAACAATGTCTATACCTGTATATAGCTCATACATATATTTGATACTTTGTGATTCTGGATTATAAAAGAGCCTGAGAGGTTTTCATGCCTTCACGCAGGCATCAGCTGAGGCCCGAGGCATTATATTTTTGAGTTGTCTTTCCGTCTACATACATACATACATAGTCAATACAAGTTTGTTTGTCCATCTGTTTTCAAAGAACACAATACTTCAGGAACACTTAGGGGGGACACCCAATTGTATTCATTGATGAACTGATTAGATTTTGGTGGTCATAGTTTATTCTTATTATTCATTATAATGTTCTGCTAAAACACACTCTGACTGTTATTTAACAAAGAACAGACGTGTATAACTACAAGGTGTTTCTTGTTTTATCTAGTTTATATCTCAAGTGAGAAGGTTTTTGTTTAGTATTGGTGACTTTCACCTGGAGAAACCCCAAACTGTTGTCTGTGAATCTGAATCATCCTCCTGCTCTTCTGTGAAATCCTCCTCTCAGAATGATGCATCGAGCTGGAGGAAACGAAAATATGTGACTCAGGACAAACAACTTAATATTTGACAATTACTATAATAATTTTTTCAACACTTTTTTTTACTTTGTATGGCTCATACTCAAACGTAGCCTAGCCCTACTACTCAATTCACTTCTATATTTCACATTAAAAGCAATATGCAGATGTAAAAAGAGCTCACCTCATCAGTACATGTTGCCTCCCCACCCCGAGTTTTCTAGAACTCTTGTCAGGGAAGTTGTTGAAGAATGTTGCTGAGCCTCTCTGATCACATCATGGCACAAATGTGACTGGCACACTCATGGCATTCCTTTGGATGATATTTGTGAAGAATCTATTCATCAGTCGCAGATATAATCTCAACACTATAAAGTAAAATGCAGTCAGATAGCACAGGTTCATTTGCTTATTCAATGAAATAATTTGACAATTTGATGTTGGTCTTGACAATCTGTATCAAAAAAGGCTGATTGGGTGAGGGATTCTTCATTTATGTCCTCTGGAGCAGGAGGACTGGTACGGCAGATCTGAAGGATCATCTGTCCGAGCTTCTCTCTCTTTAAGCAAGTTCTCACTGTAGGCCAGGTATCCATTTCCTCCAGGCACACTTGACTCAGCCGCATTTTATCGCCCATCAATCAGTCCAGGTGATGGGAGTTTCTGAAGCTCAGCAAAATACATCGTTTCCAGGAGTGATTACTGTGAGTGATTAGTGTGATGGATCCCTGATCATTATGACACAGCCCTTTAATATGTTTTGGTAGGAAAACATACTGCAAACACATTATGCAGAGGTTCAGCCATCCGCGGCCTTTTCCCTACTCTTTTTTAGACTTTAGTGTGAATTATAGTTTGGCAAGCATGATGATGCATCCATTGCCCTTCAGGTCTGGGACCTGGCTGTCAGATTTATCGTTTTATCTTCACCAGCATCATTAAATTGCTTGATTGGATTAGACAGCACAGGAAGTTCATCCTTTTCTCTCTGCCACGTACCATCACTTCTTCTAGGTATATCTGCTGCAGGGAACACAGTAGAGAACATGCTGAAAATGCAGCTCACCTGGTGAGGATAGAGTTTGCAGCAAATAAAAGATGCTGCTATGCAGGCTCCTTACTGTGATGCATTAAAAAAAGGATTCATGTGACTAGCATCTTTTTTTTTATTGATAGCCTAATTAAACATAAAGCAAAACATAATGTATCTTAGATTGAAGATGCACGGAGGCATTTTTATTCTGGAAAAATAGTTGCTGCATTTATGTCAACAGATAATATCAGAGTCCTACTCCGGCCTTTGTGTATAATCCACCAAACAAATTGAACAGTTAAAAAAGAAAAGAGAAACCACACCTCTTAACCAGATGTTATAAACGAACAAATATCTGCAGCCTGATAAAAAAAACAATATCAATATGAACTATTGAACGTTGTCCTAGTCAATTATTGATGCTCTGTTTGCACTAGTGTTTGTTATGTTACTCATTTATATTGTTTCATTTATTTATTTTGTTTGGTTAGGTTTAGGTCATTTAGTTACTTGATCAGAGTTTAAAGTATAATTTAAAATTCCTCAGATAGTTTGCAGGGAATCTTATTTAGGGTTTAGTAAAACAAACTACTTAGGCACCAGAAATACTTGGTTAGGTTGAAAGCCAACGGGATCAATCATTCAATTATCAGAGAAAATGGGAAATACATATTAATGTCTGTACAACAAATCACATCTTTTGCATATTAATTACATTGACCTAATGTGTCCTCGATCACAGCCACAACCATCGCTCACTTCTTCACACACTCTAAGATAACAGCTGTGGCAGCTGCTCTGGGTCCTTGACATCACTGCAGAGTTAGTGCAACACTTCTAAAACCAATAATCAGGGGAGATAATTGGATGTGTATTACTGAAGGCAAATTAAAACTGCTTCTTTACTGGGTTTTTCCCAAAACAACGAGGCACAAAGCTCCTGTCAGTTTTTATATTCCAGTTTTGTGCTGTTTGTGTCTTGGCTTGGCTGTATTTTTGTTAGCTGTCATGAAAGCTTGTGTAATATAAGTAAGAAACAGGGAAATTTATTCATTTCATTGATTGTGATTTGAACGTGTGGGTGTTAAGAAACAATATGGACCAGTACAGATGCTGTACAAATCCGTGTACTCTCCATGATGACATATTGGGTTCATTTTTATTCAAATGGGGTTTATCACAGGTTTATCAGTTCAAGATCACATATTATGAACTCAAAAGTAGAGCATGTGATCAGATAGAGTACAGATAGAAAGCTGCGTCCATTTCCAGGTATAACAATGAGGATAAATGAGCCTTAAGACTTACTGTCAACATGAAACCTCTTTAGTGTGGACATTTCTCAGAGCTATTACAACGTCGAGATATTTTGGGCTCGTGGCTGGGTGGTAACGAGGTGCCCCCACTGTGGCTGGCCCCTGATGGGCTTCAGGTAGCTTATGGCGCCCTGCTAATGAACAGTGACAGCCACGCCGGCTGTTGCCCTGCCCTCTGGTTCACGCTGCTCTGTGGTGGACCTGCTGAGTTCTCCTCTCGCTGCAGCATACCAATGCTGTCCGCTCCGGCTCTGTCTGTTCATCTGCCCTGCTGTAGCATGGTCCACCATGCTCTGAATAACAATGCAGTGAGCCATATTAGTGACTTTGTTGAAGAGATGTGAAAAGTTGCTGACTTGTGTACACATACCATATCTGAGGGTGTTACTTAGAGGGAGACATTGTTGTGTATAGTGCTTTCACAGGCTAAAACAATCAAACATACTGCAGTCACTCACAATCTCTATCTATATCAAAGCTCCTTAATTTGAGGATTATAGGGCTGCCGAATGAGCTATTGATTTCGATTTTAGTTAAGCATTGTAAAGTTCTTATTAGGCTTTGAAATCAAAAGGTTTTGGTCAAGAAAACCAGTGAGTGTTATCAGACTCCATGTACACCTTTGGTGACAAAATGCAGAATTTTGATCAAGCGGCCATTTACCGATATATAAACTATTACCCAGAGGACCACGGGTGAAATTTCAACACAAACACCAAAAATAAGTTGTTTGCTGTCAATCAAAGTGAGGAGCTTTTCTCTGACCAAACAGAGCACTGCCAAATTGTCGCTTTGCAACCTTTCAGCTGCTGAGGGAGCCCCCTGCCATATTGTCGGAAATGGTGAGGTTTGGGCCTGAGGTGACAGCGGAGCCTGCATGGAGGCCATTTTTTTGCTGTAAATTGATTATAGAGCTCAAGATGAAAAGTTTTGTTTTTGGCCCCTGATACTGCCAGAGTGATGAGAAGACAGGCAGCATTTGTTTTCACCGAGGTAGAAGAAGACACAATGTAGGCAACTCATCAACATGTCACCATTAGAGAACTTGTACTTGAATTTCTGCTTGAAATTCAGCTCAACTCTTTGCAAGGTCACGAAAACAGCATTTGTTCATCAATGGGTTGTTAGTGATTGCAACTTTTTGCTCCAGGAACAGTTTTGACGAGAGAGCAAAGCAAAGCAAGTAAATGGAAATGTTCTCATGGAACCTTTAAATTATACTTTACTGCTGTTTGCCATCCAGGGCTGCCCCATGGAGAATATTAGGAAGCTAAAGTTTAAACAAAGTTTAAAAGGTCAGTCTTCAACTTATCTTGCTCAAACTAATCCTCTCAATAGTTCATATTCCATATATATAGGACAAAAAGGACTTAATTGTGTCTAATGTGCACATTTGCAATTCATTGCTTTATTGCCTCAAGTATCTACACTGAGCACATTGAAAGTTTTTAATGAACAGACTGTGATGACTTTATTGGTTTTGATAGACCAAAGCATTGTGGCAGTCTGACTGAAACAGCAATCATTTTTAATGTTCTAAAGCTGACTATGCAGTCCTGGCTCTTTGCGTGGCATGTACTGTATCCACCTTTCTAATAGATATAATATATCAGAGACTGGAAGAAAAGCAGAAGGTCAAGATCTGAAACCATGCCCTTCTTTTGAGTCATACCAGTACATGATGGCAGCATTATTAGCCCTGCAGACCCCAGTAAACCATATCTGAAGTCTTAGTTACACAAAAATCCTCCATCTTCACAGCATCCAACAAAGATCATATAACAACAGAGCCACTGGGAGCTTTTCCTGCAGAACATAGCTTCAAAGAAATGAGATGCTGAACAGAACGCTTTAAAGAAACAAGACCTTTCCTTGAAACATAAAGTCATAGATACATTTATAGCAGCTAACCTGAACACTTTTGGGCATCCTAACTCTTAAAATAAGAAGGTGATATCACACGAGGGAAGGAAGCAGTAGATGATCTTATATGCCATTAGTTAACAACAATTAAGTTCATGCTTTTAAGGTATTTTGTCCTTGGGAGCATTGTAAAAGTGATCTGTCATTTCAGAACTTTATCAGGTAAATACAGGAATACTATTTTGTTGTGTCCAGTTGGCAATGATTGTTCCTGTACCCTCTGCAGTCCCTGTTCAGGTCTGGCAGCAGATTCGTCTAACACCACTCAGGTCAGCCTTTTACAGCACTGATTGCACATCGAGGATCTAATCAAACGAAGTCATTCTGTTCAGTGATTCAATTGAGGGGACCATGGGAACTCCTGTTTCTTCACCTCTACTAAAAATAGAGAATGGGGACAGGTGACTGTTTTATTCCAGGTCAGCATTCATCCAAGATAGTAGTTTAAATGAGTCTCCCCTGCTTTACAATCTTTTTTGGGAAAACAGGTTTCTCTGTTCTGAGCCATCACAACCACTCAGCCAGCCTTTTGCCTGGACTTAATTCTGAACTTGAGGGGAAGGGATCACAGTACCAGCAAGCTTATGATCTCAGTCCTGGGAAAGCAGTGAGGCTGCAGGCTTGATGGATTGCTCCAAAACCCCAGACTGAATGGGCTTACACATCTACTGTAGGGGAGGAAAGGGAAGGGGAGAGATACAGAGGAGCTACATGTTATGCATACTACTCTCTCTGTACAGCCATTGGTGGTACAAATGATAGAATGACCCCTGCTGGTGGTTCTGCATTTTTCTGTGCCAGTGAGGAGTCTGCAGCTGCTGTGCTTACGCAGCTCCCTAGTCTAACAGCAACATGATTGCATTGCTTCACACAAAGGAGAGAAAGCAGTCTTTTCACTAAATGCATTTTTTTCCATTTTCAGCCAATGGCGAATTTCCTCCAGTGGTCACCAGCACAACCCAGCTGCCATTTAAACCAATCACCAATACTACAGCCACGTCCTTTGGGAGTCCTGAGACAAAATTCCCCACCACAGATTACTGTAAGTATGAGCTTTACTGCCACAGTCAAACTGAAAATGTGAGTTACTCTCAGATGTGAATACCTTTTGCCCTGGAGGAGAATATTCTCCTCTACATATCTGTTTCTCCTTCTGTCTCTCTTTGTCTTTCCTGCTCTCTCTCACGCTCGCACATCAAACTCACTCACACCATCGCCTGCACGCATTAATGACACTCAATTATTGTACACGTGCTGAGCGTGGCACAATGCACGGGCTGCAACAAAGTACGTGTGCCCCCTACTGGTCTGTACCATGGCACATCTGTGTGAATGCCGCAGAGATTTCCTTTGACATTAAATGAAGCAGGACAGGCAGTTTTGAAGAGTAAAATCCTCTCATTTTGTTTCCTGAGAATGTCAGTGAAGCCAGTTACACAGACTTGACATTTTCAACCTCATACTCTCACCTCCACTGTTTCAAAAAGGTAAGGATAGCAGAGGATCAATTTCTAAATTTAAAGTCCTAAGCTTGAGTTACGTTCACATCAAACCTGCTGTAAAACACATTTCTTCAGCTATTAGCTTTTAAGTTCTCAAGGCACACTGGAATATTTGAGGCTTCTGTGCTCTTAGATATTAGGTATTTCCAATTTAGTGTTCCACTGGAAATGATCCTTATTTCTCAGAGATAATTTGCTAAATCTGTTGACATCACACTTTTTATACGAAGGCTGAACAGATGGGAGGTTCTTCTCAGTCTGTGACTTTCACACTAGTTCTGGATTCCAGAGAGATGATTTGTCTTGACTGTTTAACACTCTAGCATCATAATTGCATTCATCTTTATCTCGGTTTGTCTGATGTATAATACTTGGAACGCCAGTATTATCAGTAGATAATATATCGTTATCCAATAACCAAACTATAACAAAAATAGCCAAACTATCTGACCAGCATTACTCTTAATTTTGATTCTGTCTGAATTCAGCCAGAACAATCAGAGCGGTCAGATATTTCTCTCACTGTCGTCCTGCACTGCAGATTTAACATAGAGCATTCAATCTGCTCAACAGCCGCTGGAAAGGGCCGACGAGAGCACTCGAGCAAACGATGCCTGACAAACCACAAAAAGCTGGGTGATGGAGGGACACAATAGGCAAAGCTTAACAGCAGCCCAGAGTGGAACTATGCTGACTGTTGCCTCGGTGTGCCCTGGACCTGATGCTAATATGTGGCTCTTTTTGAGCAGCAACTTGTCTGATTGAATGTCTGTGATGAGGGTCACACTTAAATTCTGAACACAGAGCAGCATATTCATCTCTTCAGGGTTAAACAGGGATAGTCAGAGATCACATCATCATGTTCGCCCAGCCAACGTGATTTGATAATGTTGCAGGATGTTGCACTGAACTGGAACCATAGGCGTTGGTCAACCTGCAAACAAAGGCTATTCAGGCTATTGAGAGTATTTTCCACGGGAACATTTTGAGGAAATTCATTATTATATAAAGAACATGTCATATCGGAGAGAATCATGAAAGGCTATTTTAATGTGCTTACACAGGTAATACTCAGTATGGTTACATCAAAAAGCCAGCAGACTGAAATCTCTGAGAAACACGGCACTTTGAGATCACACTGCTCTCGCCCTTGTAATTATCATAGATATTAACTTGGGGGAGAAAAAGTGGAACATGTTCTTATTCATTGGCCATTTCAAAGAAAGCCTTGAGCGGTTAACATTCGCCAAGCGTCTCCTTTCTCCCCTTCTGGATTTGATGCTTTGACGTCTGTAGGGCAGGACGGCAAGTCTGATGAGAGTTTTAGCTCAGCAGACCTGTCACTCCAACAAGGCTGTCTTCTTCCCTCGACACGCTCAATGATTAACCCCACCAGGCGTCAACATCTCTTGTCTCCTCTCACTCTCTCCTTCATCCTTCCATTCTTTCTGAGAGGAGCATCTGGACCTGGCACTTCTAGTTTTCCTCTTTTCCTCCATTTGTTTACCATTTCATTATTTTATAGACAGTCTGTTAGGTTCCATTACTGCTCTTTCATCCCCTGACTTCACTTCAGTCAGCATTCGCCTTAATCTCATTCTATTGTCCCACTTCTTGCTCTTACGCTTTATTTCATCTCCTTCACCGTAACTTCACCTTCATTTTTCTCTTTCTTCTTGTCCTTTGCCCTCATCTCCATTGATTCCCCACTATTCTGGCAACAGACACTTTCATTTCTCACCACTGCTCCGCTGTGTGGCACCCAGCGCTCACTGCTGACTCATCAGTTGCTTTGGGGGGAAGTGAAAAAGTCAAACTAGATGAGGCTGCTTCCCTTTCTTTCTGTGATTACCTCTCCTGATGGGAAAGGAATGCGTCACTAACCTCAAAATCAGCTCTGGGCCTATTTTTCTCTGGCCATTAGTTGTATGAGACTGTGTGAGACTGTGTGTGTGGACAGTGCACACAAATCACCTTCACGAAGCTACAAAATGTTACTACAGTTTCACCTCATCTGCATGTGGATTCAAAACCATAAGCTCCTTAGACAGACAGCATATTTTCACTTTAAGGTGTTCCACTTCTGTTCATATAACAACAAAAAAAAAACTAAGTTATGCAGAGTAAACTGGTATCAAATCAAAAACAGAAGGCACAGTGAATGAAGCAATCTGATTGGCCCTTGAAAGTAAATGACAGCAGATGTCAGTCCCTGAATGCTGCATGCAGAAAAGGCGTTTTGGCCATTACGCGCTTGCTAATTAGCTACACAAAGAAGACGCGAGTCTGTGCCTCATTGTTTACTTTTGCATCAACACTGCCATGCGGCAATCAGTGAGCTAGTTGCTGTTGCTCTGGATTTTGGAGGGAGAGGACAATAGTCAGTAAGACAGATATTAGACTGATAACGAGCACTGTCATGCAAAAGGTTTTGTAATTAATTGGACTCTGCTGCTACATAAGCTTTGTGTTTAGCATTCACATCCATTCATGGCGTGCCAGCCTTGATCCATCTTTCTAATGGTCAGACCAAGGAGGACAACTGTCACCGGATAAGGAGGATACATGCTAACAGGGAAAAGCGGTGTAGAATAAAAAGTCTCTACATGAAGTTGTCTTTTAAAAGTAGAATTTTATTTGAAATAATGAATATAAAATGAAATACTGGTGAAAACAAAATTAAAATTAAAAAACAAGGATCATATCTATATACTAATTCCACAAATCTGTCAGTCTAAATTGCTCTCATATGGTGGGAATTGTTCATCTCATCTGCTTCACGCTTGGCATTTGTATTGTCTATCACCACAGGCCAAACAAACAGTCCGTTCCAAACAGGCAGGTTTAAAACGGACACATTTGTCATTTTTCATGTCAATCAGACAAATGTTTCTAAGCATGAAGAAGGCAAACACAATCAGCTAAGGTCTAAAAATAAAACATTCAAATTAGAGGATGTATGAATCTGAACTTAATCAAATAGCAGGTTTATAAAACACGCCCTCTTGTACTGAGTTATGAATTACTGAGCACTGTCCATCTGTCCGGCTGAATGTCAATCTGTCTGTTGCAGCACACAACGTCTTTGACATTGCTCATTATTCTGTCACAAAACTGAAAGAATCTAAATGGCTTCATTCTGGCAAGTTAGAAAACTCATACTGCCGCATTACTTCCTGCTCGTTCGCTTGTTACAGATTGGCCTTTGTCATTCACAGAGGATGAGATGTTTACTGTTATTGTTTTAATAGTGTGCAGAGAAGATAAAGACGGCTGGAACGTTTCTATCAGTGGTGCAATACAATCAGACATGTTCTAAGCTGTTACTCTCTCCCTTTGACTCTTTGTCTCTTTCTCCTTCTTATTCGGCTCATGTGGAACAATTTGTCACTGATGACAGTGTGTGCAGCGTTGGCCCTCTCTCTGATGGAGGCCAGTGTTTGTTATGATGATGGCATCGCACCTGTGGCAAAGTTCACTGAAAAGCAGATTCATATAATAGTCAGGCAGAGTCAGTCTCCCCAGGGATGTGTGTGTGTGTGTCTGCGTGTATCATTATGTGTAGGGGCTGAAGGGCGTCACACCACTTATTAGAGAAGACTATCATCTGTGAGAGCGGCACATCTTGTTTTTGTTTGTTCTGCCAAGTGCCTATCACGGGCTCATTACACCATTGGTGTGTGTGTGTGTGTGTGTGTGTG